GAGATTTTGCATTTAAACAATAATTTATTAAACTAAATTCTTGAACAATCCATAAAATCTATTTTTATTCTCTTCGTATTGAACAACAATTTTAACCTAAATCAAAATCTTTGAAAAATTTAGAAGAATGTTGAACCTAGAAACTTAAGTAAGAATTGCACAAATCTTGTGAAATTTTAGAACACATGAACCTAGAGCTCATAAAGACCTCAGTTAATTCTTGGAGTTTTTTATTTACCTACTTGGATCTCTACTCTTTCATTTACCTCATTCGTAGCGATGCCAATGGCAAGCTTGAGGATGCCTCTAGGTTATGTGAGTTTTAGGTTCCTTTTTCACTTCCTTACTTAGACTTGTCTCTTATTTTTCCTTGTACTTGATGGAATCGCATGAATGGTGAACTTGGAGCACGATAGCTTAAGATGGAACTAGAAGAAGAAGGATGATGCACATGAACCTTTCAAAGAGATGAGGAAGAAGAATAGGCGCATGTGGTATAAGGTAGGATAAGGAAGAAGAAGAAATGACATGGCAATTGATGTGGCCGAGCAGATTTAAATTGCATGATCAAAAAGCTAATGTTAATGAGCAACCTAATAATTCTGTCACGGTAGGGTAAATTTGTATTGTTTTGAAAAATGTTAGGGTAAAATTGTGCCTTTAAATACTTTAGAATATCAATTGCGTCTCTAGAAAAACTTCAAGGATAGATTTGTGCTTTCACCCCTAAAATTTTGGTCCTAATATAATTATTATTTTAAAAAATTATTAATTTTTAAATGAAATTATCTTTGCATCGTTGGCTCTTTGTGTCCTGACTCCACCATTGGGTGGCCTCATAGTCATAGGTATTTTAGGAATACTTTTCACATCACTACTAGAAAAATATAAATTAGCGAGAGAATTTAGCAAGGGACCATCTATTCTTGTCTAAAATATTAAATTAGCGAGAAAATTAGTGAGGGATATTGATTTTATAGTTTGACTTAAAATTAGCGAGAAAAATAATGAAGAGCTTTCAATCCTTCTTTAAAATAAAAGAATTAGCGAGAAAAATAATGAGAGACTATTTATCCCTAGCTAATTATTGCAAAAAAATTTAACTTTTGGTAATGAATTTTAATTATATATTTAATTATTTTTATTTAAAAATAAATTAAATTTAGAAATTAACTAAAATATCCATAATAAAATTATTTAATATTTAATATTTTCTTTATTTTAAGTTGATTTTAATTAATAAAATAATATTTTACTAAAAATATAATAGAAAAATAATTTAAATAAAATATAAATATTTTTAACACATTAATAATTGAAAATAAAATTTAATATGTGTATATGTGTGTATTTTTATAATATATTATTTCATATATTTATGAAGTTAAATAATTTCTTATATTTAATTTCTTATACAATGACTGTAGGTGTCTTTTAATTCAACTGGCAAAAAAGAAAAGTATAAAGCTTGAAAGGTATGAGATCATGGGTTTAAGTCTTGACTTTGACATAAACATAATGAATATATGACATAATAAGGAGTAAGTGACATGGCAAAAGGTGGATAATAACATGTCATGAATTGTCACACATGTGACAAGCGATGGGACACGAGATGATAGGTGATAGGGCACAAGGTTATTGATGATATGTTACAAATTAACACACACATGGCAAATGACGTAACATTACTATTTTTAAATATAGGCATATTTAGTTAGGGATGCTAAAGTTATTGAATTTTGAATAATATTAGCAATGGATTTAGTGAGAGAAATATGATCCCTTACTAAATTTATCGAGCCCTTTTTTAGTTATAAATTTAGCAAGGGATAAAATCTCTCGCTAAAATGCAATTTACCTAGGGAAAATGGTATTTAGTGAGGAATTTGTCCCTCATTAAATTTAATTTTTCTAGTAGTGCATATTAATTTAACATAACTACATACTATTCCCTCCAGAAAAAAATTTAGGGTATCAATAACTAATTCACGCTTCTAAAAAAATGTTACTTGAAACCTTAATTTCTTTAAAAAGATTTCATTTTTTCAATTTTACTCTCATTAAATACCTCATATAAGAGTCTTAATAATTGTAATTAAAATTTTAATGAATGATTTTTCAAAAATAATAATAAATGAAGTAGGAGTGTAGTTGAAAAAAATATTTATAAAAGTTACCCATTGTTCCATATTGTGGATTAAGTAAAGATAACTTATAAAGTAGTCCAAAGGGAATATAGTGAAAAAACACTTTTTACAAGGGACTTTTCACATGGATTAAATTACAGAAAGATCTTATTTTCTTACATCGGTTTATAAACAACACATGTAAAAAATTGTTTTTAGATCGGTTAGAGGTTCATGCCTGTATAGAAGCTCTTCCAAGAAAATCCCACAGCCTCCCAAATTTTCATGTCTCTCATGAGCTTGCTTCCCGAAAAAAGAAAAGGCATATTAATTTGCCAAGACTAAAAAGTTTTTGGTTATAAAAATCCTCCTCCTTGTTATGAATAAAATATAGAGACAATATAAATTAGAAGAAAGAGAATGAGGAGAAGGAAGAATAGAGGCAATAGAAATAAGGATGAGATCTCATATACTCTTCTATACTTTTAATAATACAAATGAGATGTTACATATATAGGTAAACACTTACCACTCAAACGTCTAAACAATTGATCAGGAATAATGTATCATAAAAAAGACACAAATTCTACAGGAAAAGATGAAGCTTAAGAATCTAATGAGTCACGACCTTTGAGTGATGTGAAGTAATATGGGGAGATGAACATTCTTATAATTGTAGCATGGGGAGATGGAGATCCACACATAATCTTTATATTTATAACACTCCTCACTCTGTTTTTTTTTTTTTTTTGGCCGACTCCTCCTCACTCATTTGATTAAGGAAAAAAAGGGATTGGAATAAAAATTTAATAAATTTTCTCCCTTCTAAAATTGAAGGAAATCTTGAGGGGGAATAGCCAAATTTTTAACTACCCCTTTGATAGTTTGACTTGTTAAAAAGAAGGGGAAAACTCAAATTTAATGGCGGCATCATCAGATAATCAATTCGTTATTATCATTTCTTTCTCTTTAAAAGAAATGTTATCATCGGTTCCTATCTTCCAATGGAATCAAATAACAGAATAAAACATCGCCTTCCTTTGTATTTAATCTTTTTCCTTCCTTCTCTTCCCCCCCGCCCTTCTTCTTCTTCTTCCCCCATGGTGGAACCAAACACTTCCTTCAAATCATTTAGAATAATTTTTAAAAGCCTTACTTGTTTTAAAATATAAGATATTGGATAATTTTTATGATTAATTTTTTAACTATATCCCTACTTTATTTTTTACTCTTTCTGAAAAATTATATATTAAAATTTTAATTATCTTTATCAATGCACTAATATAGGGTATTTAATGACGATAAAATTAAAAAGATGTAATTTTTTTAAGAAATTAAGATTTTAATTAACATTTTTTAAAACTGCAAATTAATTACTAATATCCTATATTATGGTTAGGAGATAGTATTGCTGTATTTAAAACTTGGAAGCAATTCTAGGGGTGCCTACCCGATAAGTAAATAAGAGAGTTGACACCATATATATATATATATGAATCAAGTTAATTAAGTAATTAACTGAACCAGGAAGTAACCATGGGTTAAATTAATATTTTCTAATCCCCACTAAGTGTCGCGAAGTAAATAAATAGCCTCGCACTAAATAATTTAATGCCCCGGTGAGAAATTCTATGTAATCTGTTTAGACCCGCTAACCGCAAAGATACAGGGTTCCATGTTTGGTTTATGGGCACGTGGAATTTCCCCCCACCAAAACTCGTTTTGGTTAAAAAAAAAAAAAAGCCTTATTGAATACTAATACAGTATTGTTAGCAGATGCAGTAATTTGAACCAATTCGAAGTCTGAAAAATTTTAAAACTACACTTGAGAATTTAAAAAATTTTCTCTACTTCGAAGAGATTTGAGCCAAGCTCGAATACCTGGACTCTATTTTTATTATTAATAAAATAATATTAAAATAAGTTAAAAATAAAAAATATTAATTTTAAAAAATTAAAATTAAAATAAGATAAAAATAAAAAAAATAAAATTTAACAATTCAGATATTTATGCCAGCTTGAATAAATTTGAAAACATAAGGGATTAGAGTCTATTGCTTTTTCACATGTTAGGATATTTTAAGCTCGATCAAAATAAGTCCTATTCGAATTGAGCTCGATTTAAATAAGTTTAATTTTTTTAAATTACCAACTCTAAGAGTTAGGATATAGTTGTAACAAATTTGGTCAAACAAAACTAGCCCGGACCAAAAATAGGTCACCAAAAGATCCCTTGATTATGTAGGATAGATGAGCCAATTTGTCCAGCCATTTAAAAATAGATCAACAAAAGGTCCCTCGATTATATAGGATAGATTGAAATTTAGATCCTCTCCATAATCTCCCTAAATACATCTCTTCATACTTAATATCATCCATCCGTTTTAACTATTTATTTGGTTTAATGGTGTAGGATGGCTAATTATACATTAAAACAAAAATATTATTCATTATTATCATTTAAATGCTTTTAAAATAAAATCATGATGCTCCTTTACGATAATTATTAAATGAATAATATATTTATTGTGATGCCATAATTAGTAATCTTACACCATCAAATTAAATAAATAATTAAATGGACATATGTGATTGACTATGAAGAAAGGTATTGAGAGAGGGTATGAAGAAGATCCAAATCTGGATAGATTGGCCAATTTATCAGGCTGCTTTTCTTTTCTGTTTGCAAGTTTAATGGCCTGGCTTTTTTCCTCAAAATGTAGTTTACTCATTTTCAATAGTCCTGTATCTAGGAAATTAAATCATTATTCTTATGCATGCAATTGACATGACTAAAATACTAACGAAAGGGAAAAAAAACTTGTGATTTGATTTTTTTGATCCTAAAACAGATATGCAAGATAGAGAAGATAGACAACAATGAAAGTAAAATAGATCAACATTGAATATAATACATAACAAGCATGAATAACAAGTGCATCTCAAATCACCTGGATTATGGAACCACAATAACACACACTACATAGTAGCATATATATATATATATATATGCAATACATAACTAGAAAAGTGCGAGCATGATAAACACACCATGCCATTATTCGAGTTGTAAACATATTATATGAGGCAATTAAGGCTTCTCTTCAGGGATTGAAAGCCTCATTTTTCTCGATAACTTTTCAGCATTTTCCCAAGTGGAAGGGTGTTTGTGATGAGGGTCTTGTGGTGGCTTCTCTCCTTTTGGCTTAGGTTTTGGTAAAGGCTTTTCTTCTTGAAGATGGTGTCCAAGGTGATTTGGATTGTGTGGAGGCTTGTTTTGTGGAGGTGGTTTTTCACCCTTTGGTTTTGGTTCAGGGAATGGCTTCTCCTCTGATAAACGATGTCCAGGGTGATCAGGGTCGTGTAGGGGCTTGTTTTCTGGAGGTGGCTTCTCACCCTTTGGTTTTGGCTCTAGGAAAGGCTTGTGTTCTGGTAATGGCTTATTCTCTGGAGGGGGTTTTTCACCCTTTGGTTTTGGTTCAGGGAATGGCTTCTCCTCTGATAAACGATGTCCAGGGTGATCAGGGTCGTGTAGGGGCTTGTTTTCTGGAGGTGGCTTCTCACCCTTTGGTTTTGGCTCTAGGAAAGGCTTGTGTTCTGGTAATGGCTTATTCTCTGGAGGTGGTTTCTCACCCTTTGGTTTTGGTTCAGGGAATGGCTTCTCTTCTGATAAACGGTGTCCTGGGTGATTAGGGTCATGCGGGGATTTGTTTTCTGGAGGTGGCTTCTCACCCTTTGGTTTTGGCTCTGGTAAAGGCTTTCGTTCAGGCAATGGCTTGTTCTCTGGAGGCGGTCTCTCACCCTTTGGTTTTGGTTCAGGCAATGGCTTCTCTTCTGATAAAAGGTGGGCTGGGTGATCAGGGTCGTGCGGGGGCTTGTTTTCTGGAGGTGGCTTCTCACCCTTAGGTTTTGGTTCAGGCATTGGCTTGTCCTCTAGGGGTGGCTTGTCTCCTTTTGGTGGTTCTTCTATGGGTTTGGGTGGTTTGTCACCAGGAAATGGTTTAGGCTCGCCGATTGGTGTGGGAGGCTTTTGTCCAGGGAATGGCTTGCCTTGCGGAGGTTCGTCAACCGGCTTCGGCGGTTTGTGTTGAGGAAAAGGCTCATGATGAAAATCTGCAGTTAAAGGAGTGATGAGAAGCAGCAGTCCCAGGAGGAACACGAGCAAAGTAGTAGAAGCCATATTTTGGTGAGAGCGAGATGGGATGGTGAAGGAGTGCCAAATGGGAGTGCTCATTTATAGTGCAAGATCGGGGGGGTGCTACGTCACTCATCATGTCACTGGACACCCAGTGTCAACGGTTTCATACTCCAGGGGTCCTCTGATTCCTCCCACAGTTGAAAACTTTGACACTCTGTGCTTCCAAGGTCGGGTCTTCTTGTCATCATCAAAAGCTCAATTCTTGGCATCGCCTTCTGTTCACTCAGACCGTAAATTTATGGAGACATTAATTTATGGAATGGAGGGTTGAAGTTGGAGGCTGTTCATACGGAGGCTTTCTCCGTTTCCCACGTACGACGGTGATCGTTTCCTTGTCCCCATGCTTCTCTCACTCACACCTATCCCTATTGCCATATCTGGACACCGGACACTGGAGACTGGACACATCACACGTTTTATTAATACCTCATCACTAACCTTTGTTGGGTCCTCACATGCTTCTAGCTCATTACTCTCTCCGATCCATTTATTATAGTAGGCACGTCTATTGAGAAACAAACTGTTTATTTTGTCTAAAAAATCTTTTATGTTTACTATTTTGTCTTCAAAAAAAAATATGTGACTGTCTACCATGGTTATTTAATTTACAAGAAATATTTTTACAATCCCTGTGTCAAAACAAAGACTTGTTATCAATACAAGAGTGCGAAGAAAACTTGAAAGAAACCATCTGCCGTGCAATAAACTTCCGTGATTGAAGAGAAGGTATGTGATGGATCCTTCATTAATTTTAAATGAAACATGCTGTCTATTGGTCTATTGGAGCATTGATGAACGATACATAACTAACCAAACGGTATATTTAGCGAAGAACTCAACTACCGGTCCATTGCGCCGCTCCAGAGTCCAGATTTCAATTTGTTCTCCTCGTCTGACTTCTCTGATTAACTATCGGGAACTTTTGGACTGCAGTCTGCAAAGCCGATCCAGTATCAATCGGATTCAAGCACGTACCGTTATATTAAAATATTAAAAAGGCAAAATAACATCTAATTATCAAGATAGTTTCAATATCAAAGTAGGGTGCAATGCATTAAAATTCTGCATATGACTTTCTGATTTTTTTTAATATTTAAAATTAATTTCTAATCTTTAATTTTATTTTTTTTAAAACTCTGCAGTTAATTAACTGTTGTTTTATTAATTTAATTATAATATTTTAATATTTAAAATTAATTTCTAACTTTTAATTTTATTTTTTAAAACCTCTATCGTTAATTAAATTTATTTTATTAATATGATTATTTACATGTTAAATTAATATAATACACATGGTATATAACATAAAAAAAGATATTTTTATTACATTTTAACACAATTTAAGAAGAGACAAATTTATAATTTTTACTTTCAACATACATTATTCTCATTTTTTTTTTGAGTAACACAATTTAAGAGAAAAATTATAATTTTATTATTTTCTATCAATTAGAACAACTTTTTATGCTAAGCAAATAAAAAATATATCTAAAAGCTATCATTAATAAGAATTATAAAAATAAAAATTTATCTTTTAATATAAGAAAACTATGTTATTTTACAAAATATTTTTAACAAAATTGATACAAATCACCAATAGAAAAAAAAAAAAACTTATTCTAAAGTAGCACACATTTCATTTGTAACATGCTCTCTTCTGACTAAAAGCAATCAAGTATTCATTCCCATAAAAATATATATTATTTTCTCTTCTTACCTCCATTCTCAATTACCAATGTATTTCACGATGAGTAAGAGATACATTTACACAAAGATTTAGATTAACAAATAAAGGAAAAAAATTTTCTTTCATGTACTAAATTACTTATATTTTAAACTAAAATTAACTAAGGAAAAATGCTTATATTTTGGGCTAGAGGGAGTACCGATAACATTTTTTTTTTCAAGTAATGAAGACTTCAATGAAGGGAAAAGATAACAACTACAGACAAATAAGAGTACAAAGAAAATAAACAAAGCAGATAAAGAAATTTATATGACTCTTATCCATAGCAGTTTTTAGATATTTTTATTTTCATTTGTTTAATATAAAAGGTTATTTTAATTGATAAATAATAATAAAATTATAATTGTTCTCTTAAATTGTATTACCCTTGAACAATGAGAATAATGTCACTTAATTAAAAAAAAATGAGAGCATCATCATGTGTGTTAGAAATTTATAATTTTACCCCTCCTTAAATTGTTTCAAAAAATAATAAAAATATTTGTCCACATAATGTGCCATGTATATTGCATTAATATGATATTAAAATAGCTATATTAATAAAATAACAATTAAGTAACAATAGAGGGTTTTGAAAAGTAAAATTAAGGATTAGGGGTAAATTTTAAATATTAAAAGGTGAGGAGAGTCATATACAATTACCTCAAAATTCAAAGATATTTTATGCATTTTAGCCATCAATGAATAATCTTAAAAATCTGAAATTTCATTGCACTTCCATGGTACCTATATGATTAATTGTAAAAACCTGAATGGATGCTTGCTAGGACTAATGCTTATACAATTAAATTTGAGCGAACAGTTTTGCAACTTGTTCATTTTTGAATAGGTTGTTGTTAATTATGCATGGTCAATTGTCAAGACCCGAACGATTGCTTATTTATGCATTCATAAAAACTTAGAGGTAATTAGTTATTTTATCACAATCTTATTTTTAAGTAGATATATGAGCTGTAGTGAAATTTCATACTCTCTCCATTTAAAAATATAAGATATTTTTAACTAAATTTTATCCTTAATAAAGTAGTTACTTACCTTTAAATTAACCATATCTTTTCATATTTATCCCTATTAAATAGGGTGTTTCATCCTAAAAAAATATAAATTGATCTATTCAATAAAGGCACTTTAAAAAAAGGTAGTGATTACACCTTAAAAAATTAAAAGTGTCTTATATTTTACAATATCTAACTTCTCAAAAAATGATTTATTTTTTTGAAAGAAAGAAATATTTTTAAGGTCTTTTTTAATTAAAAAATCTGTCAAGTGATCCTTAAATAACATTTTCCCTATTTAAAAACAAGTTTTATAGGGTTAAAAATATTTGTATGGCTCACTACCACAAAATATGTTTTTAAGAGTACATTTTTAGGAGCATTTTTATAAAAAACACTCTTAAATTGAGAGGCAGAATCTACCGAAGAGCTTTTTATTTAAAGCGCTTTCTATTTAATATATGAGAGCGCTTTACAAATAAATGCTCCTAAAGTCTCATTAAAAAATAAAAAAATTAACAAATGCTTTTAGAAGAGCTCGAGTAAAAAGCGCTCCTAAATACCTAAGCTTTTAGGAGCGCTTAATCATAGAGCGCTCCTAAAGGCTGACTAAAAAAAATTATTTGCCTTTCAAAGTACTTATTTATAAAAGCATTTCTAAATATTTAAGCCTTTAGGAACATTTTATTCATAAACACTCCAAAAGGTAAACTAAAAAAAAATTAAAAAACTATATTATCTATATAAGCGAATTAAGCACTTTAAAAAGTTTTTAAAAAAAATTAAAAAATGATTTTCTCTTTAGAAGCACTCCTAAAGATTTTTGTTTTGGAGCGCTTTTCTGTAAAGTGCTTTGAAAGGGTGTTTTTTTTTTTTTTTTTTTTATGGTTTTCTTTTATGGTTTTCCCTTTTAAACCATCCAATCTGCTCCCGCACACGCGAAGTCAAACTATCAAAAATGGATTTGTCTTAAAACCCTCTCCTCATTTCATCCGTGCTGTCAATCGACCCAACGTCGCAGTTTGCCACTGTCAAATGCCGTTGGAAGTGTCATAATGCACCGTCGAATGTCGCTGTTCTATTCACTGCCCCGTTGCACTGTTTTCGCTGGGTCACGTTGTTTTCTCCGGTCCAGCCTCGCACGCACGTCTACGCCATTGCACTTCATTCTCGCGTCTTGTTGCCATTCTGAAGAATCTGCTTCCACTGGGTCACATGTCGCTGTTGGTGGTCCACCAATTTTGTGCCGCTGCTGAGTCTTGTGTCGCCAACGGGTTAGTTCATTGGCTTTTTTTTAATTTTATTTATTGAATATTTAATTTTGTCATGTTATATATATATATATATATTAACAATATATGAATAAAATAATACCTTGTGATTATTGGTTAATTTTTCTGTGATGATTGAACTTGAAGTTAGATTATGACTGTAACATGATTGGCTTGTTATATAAATAATGCAATACTTTTTATTTTTAATGTGCTTATATTTCAATTTATTCTATGTTAGTTGAGCTTGAAGTTAAAAGTAGTTATTATTTAAGACTATAATAATAATAATAATAATAAGCAAATAAATAAACTTAAGGTAATTTACAATGGATTTTAATTAAAAAATGCTACAAAATTTTTATTTGAATGAATTGATATACTGTATCTTGAATTTGATTGCTTGGGATGTTCTTCCTTTAGGGAATAATTTGGCAATTTTTTTTAAAAAAATCAAGTCTTTGTTCATTGGATTTCTTTGACTATAATAACAATATGAATCGTGAATCATAAGTGGATGTTGGCTAATCAATTATTTAGAGAACATTGGAATAATGGGACTGAGTTCATTGAATTTACATTTTATCGTAATTAAAACTCCAGTGGAATTATATGTCCTTGTTTAAAATGTTACTATGGAAGGACAGTTAGGCCAATAGATTGAAAGATCATTTTATATGTAATGGAATTGATTCAAGTTATACATTTTGGACCATGCATGGGGAGACAAGGAATAATACTAGTAGTTGGAGGGATAGTTTGAGCTACTCAAAATTTGATCATGATAATGAGACATATGATATTGACCTTCTTGATAAGATAATTGATATAATTGAAGAGGATTTTAGGGACTATCTTGATATATTTGAAAGATTGAAAAGCAATGTTAATAAACTACTATATCTCGATTGTAAAAAATTCACAAAATTGTCAATTGTTTTGAAATTATATAACCTAAAAGCTGATAATGGATGAAACGACAAGAGTTTCATGAATTTTATAT